ACCACCAGTCTGATATAGAACACGTTAGAGAAGAGGATGAAGCTGACCATACGTTCCAAACAATAATATCAAGTCATTTTGGGTTTTGTTTCATATCAGATTGGTTTGTCTGCTTCGGTTTGAATTTGAGCTATAGTGTTTAATCTTATTACGAGTTCCGACAAGGTTTATGGAAAAAAGGTGGGAAAAATAAAATTTTAATCCGTCCGTGCGCGAAGGACGTGCCTGCAGTTGCTTGAGGAAGGGGTTAATGATTAAAGGAAAAAAAATAGGTTCCTCTCCTCGTTGTAAACCCTTATTACTGAATTCAATTCAAATATCTCTTTTAATGTGTGTTTCTGTTCAATTCTATTCCTTTCGTTGATTAAACAACACTATCATTATTTAGAAGCAACAGTTAGCAAAGAACACAATAAAAATACAAAATTTATTTCAAAAATATTTGGCAGAAAAGAATTGTCTTTAGGTTTGATGGTCAGCTTCATCCTTTTCGCTAAAGTGTTTGATTTCAGACTCGCAGGTCAACTTATAGTTCTGAAATTTCCCTGGATATGATTAAAATGAGAATCACCAATACCAAGAACAATCTGTAGTTGAACTCGATGGAACATGGGGGGCTTGAAAATATAAGTCTTGGGGCTTTAAATCGTCAAGAATCGAAAAAAATGTAGATTTCTCGTTTCCAAAGCTGAGTAGTATGATGAGATAGTGACTTGAGAGTCCTTGTCCACTTTCGTCCAATTTAGGGTTTACCAGTTTTTAAGAATACTTTTCCAAATTTATATTTCTTTTTGTTTTTGGGGCCCAAATTTGGCTTCTTCTTTATATATAACCCCGCGAGAGAGACCTTGACCCTCACCTAAACCTCAATCAAAAATCCGTCAAACTTTTACACCAATCAAATCTCTTTTGCCCATTCAGATTCCTTTGAAACTTTCTGGGTTTCGAGAAATTTTCTATTTTACAATAATTTGTTTTTTAATAATAATCTAATCAAAATCTACTGCGAAGAATCGGAAGCACGAAAATGGGGTGTTGCGCGAGCAATCCAGCAGGAGGTTCAAAGGCTAGTCGGATCTCGCGGTGGCGATCCACCGGCATTGTTGGGCTGCGCGACGCGAAATTGAAGGTCAGATCGTCTGCACTATATCTCTTTTCCTATGAAAAAACCATTGCTGGGGCCTGGGAATCATCATCGAAGAATCTATGGAATTGGTAGATAAACTGTTTGGGTAGAGATGTTTCGGTATGTGATGGTCGCTTGTTTGTGTTATTTAAGAGAGCCAAAAGAGATGAATGCTTGAGAGAGTTTGATTAGACGAAAAGCACAAACTTTAGGCTTTTCGACAGAAAAAAAGCACAAACTTTGCTGGTTGGCTTATGAATGCAGCGTACAAAGTTGTGTTAGCGTTTCTGTTTGGTGATTTTCCACTGGATTAGCTGATTATCTTTTGATGGGTGAATCACTGATTAGTTTTTGTTGAGCAGACATTTCCTAATGAAGTTATTGAAATGGAGAGAGCAGTGCGAACTCTCGATCTAACACACAATAAGATCGGTAAGGTTTCTGGTTTTTTTTTTTTTTTTGGTTCTTTCTCCTTCGTTCTGATTTCTTTCTTCATCGACGTGCTAAGAGTCGTAGTTGAAGGATCTGTATTTGACCATTTATGCAGCTGATGTTCCTGGAGAAATCAGCAAATTAATCAATATGCAGCGTCTGGTGAGAACTTTGCCTCTCTGTACATTATTCAAGATTTCATCATTCCTTTGTGAATTTGTATTGCAGTATTTCGATTCTGTATAATGCTTATTACTACTTACTAGGGATGTTGACTCTTTCCCATCGTTTCTCTGAATTGATCTCTTGAAAGTTGAAACTGTTAATGATTCTAGTTAATCTTGTAAAAAATGCTTAATTTTGGCAGTTAATAGCTGATAATCTAATTGAGCGCCTTCCGGGGAATCTTGGGAAACTTCAATCTCTCAAGGTTTTGATGCTTGATGGAAACCACATCAGCTGTTTGCCTGATGAATGTAAGAAAATTTCTCTTTGATAGAAGGATACTTCTTGTTTTGTTTTTGTCTATCTTAAAACAATTTGTGTCTTTATTATGGTTGTTTTTCCAGTGGGTCAGTTGATACGGCTTGAGCAACTATCAATCTCAAGAAATATGCTCATATACTTGCCCGATACAATTGGTAGCCTACGTAATGTACGTCAACTTCATTCACCCCCAAAGCTTTGCTCAAGGATCTGCTTGACAAATTGTTTAGCTGTCTCTAATAAAATGCATTGACTTGAAAATGCAGCTAGTGCTGTTGAATGTCTCAAACAACAGATTAAAATCCCTTCCAGAATCAGTAGGGAGCTGTGCTTCTTTAGAAGAATTGCAGGCTAATGGTATGGTGATTCGGGAACATCACAAATATTTAGAACATTTTGCTGTTGATTTTCCTTTCTTCTCCAAAGCTTAATGATGATTCGGGATAGCCTTGCAGATAACGTTGTTGAAGAGCTTCCTGCATCACTCTGCAATCTGATTCACTTAAAGTCGCTTTGCTTAGACAATAATCAAGTGAAGCAGGTAGAGAAATTGAAATGTTATCTGTTTCTTCACCTTGTAAACTCTCGAGATTACTGAATCACTGTTTTCTCCTTGTGAAATCTGTTACATTTATGGGTTTTCCAGATTCCAGATGGATTGCTGAAAGATTGCAAGAGTCTGCAAAATCTTTCTCTGCATAACAATCCCATTTCCATGGATCAGTTTCAGCTGGTAAGTCAAAACATAAGTTTTTTCTACAACCTCAAAGAACACTCTTCAAATTGCGTTTTGTGTAACTTAACTATGTGTGTAAATAAAAGATGGAAGGATACCAAGAATTTGAAGAGAGGAGAAAGAAGAAATTTGATAAGCAAATCGATTCGAATGTGATGATCAGCTCTAAAGGACTCGATGTAGGCGTTGATAAATGAAGACTGTCTTTCAACGTCTGTCTCCTTAGTTCGTAAGTTCATTCAGAAAATATAGAAAGATTTGGTATTGGTAATCTCTCTATGTGTTCTTCACTGATGATAAAGATTCCTTCTTCTTTTTTTGTAGGTCGGATTGGTGAATGAGGATCATTGTTTCATCTAAAGATAAGAAAGAAACATTGTTGTAAAACTCTCTCTCTCTCTCTGTTATCGTGACTCTGAAATTCTTATGAACGCATCCACATTCTCGTATGTACGTACGTAGGCGGGTATGTGTGTGTGTATGTATCTGTGTATGAGTGTGTTCCCATTTTCTAATCAAATTTTTAAAAGATCTCGTTGATTAATTTGCTAATTGATGTATAGTGGAAGCTTTCAAAAGCTTTAGAAAAATTTTGATTATTTTCAAAACTTAAAATAAAATAAAGTCTTAAAAGTCCAAAACCAAAACCAAACCGACCGTACCTTTTAAACCAAAAATCCAATCGTAAGTATTTGGACTTTTACCAATCGCCTGACCCGACCCGAATTCAACCCGTTTCGTTTTTAAACAAAGCCAAAGCAGCGTAAGCGAGGGTCATTTTGACTAATCTACTTTTTTTTTTTTTTTTTTTACATTACGTTTCGAAGAAACCGAAGAGAGAAGATAATTGGAGGAATCATCAAATTCAAAAATCATCTGCCATCTGGGCTTTACTTTCTCCGAACAAATTCGCCGTCGGGAATATCTCAAATAAGGAGGAAGTGCGCTGCGAAGGTAAACCATTTCTGTGCTTGAATTCGCCTGTATATCTATATAAGATATGTACGGTTTATATGCTTATCCAGTTTCTTCTCGTGTTCAATCCGATTCTGTGAAAAAACCTGAAATTGGCTCTGCGATTTAGTGTTTGGTACACTCTTTTCATGAACTCGTTCCTTCTTTTTTCTTCTTTGTTGCTGTTGCAATTTTATCCTTTTGTTGAAATTAGCCTTGAAGTCGGAGAGTTGATTTGAGTAGAAGCAACCAGGATTTCAATCTATTTTTATTAATTTAGCGAATAATTGACCCTGTGTATTTGACCTACTTAGCTGTTTTGTATATAGTCTAGTTTGATTTGAGCTGGAGATGACAACATTTTCGAATTGTTTAAGTTAGTTGTACAACACACAAAGACATGAAAAGTGTTTCTCTAGGCTAATGATTCATTTGCCTTTGCAGTGGTAGTTACTGTATTTAAATGTCGAGTAGCTCGGGAAGTTTCTCAGGAAGCTGTAGCTCGGCATCTAGTTCCAGAAGTGATTGCGAAAACTCGTTTGATGCTGAAGAACTTTTGCAGATAGGGTCAATACGCAGGGAGGTAAACACTTCATTTCCCGCTATTTACTGTTACGTGCTTATACAAATTGGACTCGGATATTCATTGTAAAGCAGCTTTTGACTCTTAGATTGATGAAGTTGATTTTTTTTTTTTTTTTTTGTGCTCTTTGATTCGTAATTGGCAGCTAAGGAAAGAAAAGGATATGCTGAGAGAATCGCAGCCTCGTAGTATCGAACTAGTCAGAGTAAACTCTTCTTCTTGTTTAATATGATGAACATTTCAGGGAAAGTATTTCCTCATTCTCTTGATTGTGTTTTTTACAGAGGTTGGAACTCCAGACAAAGTCATTATCGGAATCTCGCTTAGAAGACACTGCAAGAATTCGGACGATGGAGAAAGAGTTGTTGAATTGCTATAAAGAAATTGGTAATTCCTACTTGAGCCAAGCAATTTAATGTTTTTTTTTTCATCTGAACTAATTACACGCAGCGTATATCATTTCTCTTGTCTTGTAGATTACTTGCGAGATCAACTAATATTTAGAAGCAAGGAAGTGAATTATCTCAATGAACATGTGCACGATCTTGAACACAAATTGGCTGAATCAGGGAACTTGGAAGAAGAAGTTAACTGTTTGAGAGAGGAGTTGTGTATGTCTAAATCCGAGCATTTGTTGTTGTTGCAAGAACTCGAGAGCAAAGAAACAGAGCTACAGTGTTCGTCTCTTTCTATAGAGAAACTGGAGGAGACCATCTCATCCTTAACGTTGGAGTCCTTGTGTGAAATAGAAAGCATGAAGCTTGATATAACAGCGTTGGAGCAAGCACTCTTTGATGCAATGAATATCCAAGAAAAAAGCATCCAAGAAAAAGATGAATTAAGAGGAATAATCAAGGAGGTCCATTTTCAGTCTCAAGAGGCATACGAGAATGCTAAGTTCTTTGAGAAGCAAAACGAAGAGCTGAGGGAGAGAATTGCCGCTTCTGAAAGGAGTATCAAAGAATTTTTTCAAAGTACTAAAGAACGGGTAGAAAGTGAAAACGAAAAACCCCTAAACGCAGAGTGTTTCTTTGCTGAATTGAGCCATGTGCTTCCAGTGCCCAATGAAGTGCGGTAAGATCCAGCTTAAAGACTTGTTTGATATGTCTAATGTTGAGCTGTCAACGTTTCTAATAATGTTGGTTTCTGTCTCACAGCGAATGTTTCGATGCAATCGTCAAGAAACTAGAGCTTTCCCGGAATGTAAATTTGACTGATACAGTGGAGGGTATGGGCAAACAGATCCAGCTGCATAAAGATCATGTGAAGCAGCTCAAGGTACTTTTGTCTAACTGAGCAACTTTATTTACTGCCTTTGGTACCATTACACCTCTCTCATGAAGTGGCTCAATGTAACTAGTTTCACCGTTGATATATGGTATGTGCAGGACGAACTGAAACAGGAGAAACTCAAGGCGAAAGAAGAAGCGGAAGACCTTACGCAAGAAATGGCTGAATTAAGGTATAAGATGACATGTTTGGTCGACGAAGAACGCAAACGCCGTGTGTGCATAGAACAAGCATCATTACAGAGAATTGCAGAACTAGAAGCACAGGTACTACTTACTGATGCTTCCCTTATTTTTTTCTTTTAGTTTTTGTCAAGCATGCGAAAATCTGAAGATTCTCTTCTAAACTTCTCGTGTTTTTTTGTGTTGCTTTTAGATCAAGAGAGAGACGAACAAGCCCTCTTCCACTGATATGATGCCTCTTTCCGGGTTATTGAAAAAGTCGTGAGCTTTGATGTTTAGCTTTACCCAAATTCACTCATCTTCACATTTCTGAGCATCATCCATGGATTTTACTTTGAAAGTGTCAGCTACCACTAGAGCACATCAACTCGCAGGATGATCATTAATCCAGAGGCTTGAAGTGGCAGAAGAGACAAATAACAGAAGTTTGAATTTAAACATCAGATTAAATGTCTCAAAGAAATTAAGTTTTAGAGGTTTTTATTTTTTCCCCCCGGTTTTGTGTACATAATCAAATGCTTGGAACATAGAAATAAAGTGGGTCGAAGTTATTGGTGTAGCTCGAGATCCAATTTAAGAACTCATCTTTGGGCCTTGTGAGTGTATATTCTTTGTTTGCTTTGATAAGAAGAAAACGGAATGTGTCTAAATCTTAACTGCAGTGTTTTGTAAAATTTTCTCCCATAAAAATTAGTTTGATAGAATCATAGAACTATATATAATTGAAATTCGAGCTAAATTCAGAATGCAATAATATATTGTTCGGATTTGATTGAGTGCAGGTCGATGTTTAATATTTGTATGTGACTATATATTGTTAAAAGGGTTTTAGGATTTAGGAATAAACTATAAGATCACAAAATTATAGAAAGTAGTTTGAGAAAGTAAATGTTACAAAAGAAACACATTTTCTCGTAATTATCCCCTACCTAGGGAACTTCACCCTACTTATTAGATTACAAACCATACTTACTCTTGTAGTCTTGTTAGATTTTGTAGTTAATTTTTACGAGAAAATGAATATCTAGGGAAAACAAAATTTTGATTTTTTTCCTTCCACACGTTTGTTGTTTTTTAAATTTTGATTTTAATATCAACGTTTATTAGTTGCAAAAGTTTCTCACCTGTTTCCTCTCCCCTTGATAAGGATTCGAAATTTCAAACTCAGTTCTTGGGGTTTGTTTCCGCGTTAAATTCTTCTTCTTCTTCTTCGTATCTGCAATTTCTTACTAAGAAACCTCAATCTTCTTCCGTCGACTTCTTTTCTGGGCTCTATTCGCTCATTCAGGTACGCCGCAATTGCGATTTGCTTTTCTTTTGCTGCACTGTGATTCTCTCTTCCTTCGTCCTCGATTCTTGATAATTCTTTTTCTTACGCGCGATCCGGGGAAATTTAGGTTTATTGTTTGGATTCTGATAAGATACTAATTTCCCTTAATTTCTTTTCGGGGGATGTGTTTCTAGTTCTGCTAATTTTCAATGGATTTATGATCGATAGTTGATCAAGAGATACAACACTAAATAAATCGTACTTATCACACTCATGCATGTTCTTAGGTCTGCAATCTACTTGATTGATGGAAATTGGACTTGAGGAGTTCTTAGTTTTGGATTTCTGCAGGAGAATTTTTCAGGTCTGATACAATGTTTGGTTTGAAGAAACCCCGGGAAAGGCTTTACAAACATAAACCGGCTGATTCTGGGTTTCACTCATCTTCCAAATCAAATCCTTTTGATTCAGATGATGAATTGGATGATGATAAATACACCTTGAAGCCATCAAATAGGATTTCCCCTGAACCTTCTGTAGCCGCTAAGAATCTCAGCTTGAACCCTTTTGATGGTGATGATGACGATGATCATGAGGCCAAGAAAAGATTCACTTCGTCATCGAAACAATTGTTGACTTCGGATGCAAAGAGCCGGTACAGGAATGGTTTCCGTGATTCAGGAGGTGTGGAGAACCAGACGGTTCAGGAGCTTGAGAGCTATGCTGTGTACAAGTCTGAGGAAACAACGAAAACCGTACAAGGGTGTCTGAAAGTGGCACAAGGCATAAGATCAGATGCTACCAGGACTTTGGTCATGTTGAATGAGCAAGGCGAGAAAATTACAAGGACACACCAAAAGGCTGTTGATATTGATCATGATCTTAGTCGGGTGAGACGCCAAAGACAGGAGATTGAGATTTTCAAAACCAATAATCAAGTAGCTCCTTTTTGGGAGGGTATAAGATCTTATTGTATGTTTTGTGTGTTTCGTTTCAGGGTGAGAAGCTACTTGGGAGCCTCGGAGGCATTTTTTCAAGGACTTGGAAGCCAAAGAAGACTCGTTCCATAGCTGGTCCTGTCATAACCAGAGGTTTACTCTTCTTTGGCTGATCACTTCTAAGGAATGAATCTCTTGCTTGTTACTTTACCTAACTCACGTTTTTCTGAGTAGGTGAATCCCCCAAGAGAAGAGTTAACCACCTAGAGACTAGGGAAAAGCTGGGGTTGAACCATTTACCCAAACCAAAATCAAGAACCCGTGAACCACTCCCTGAATCCGCTGATGCCTATCAGAAATTAGAGGTTTGGACTTTGGATTTCTCTCCCTTCTCTCTTTCTGGGGTTTCAAAAGTTGTCTTTTTTTGTTTTGCAAATATATTGAGAATCATACTGTGTTAACAGATGGAGAAAGCAAAGCAAGATGAAGGACTTTCAGATTTAAGTGATTTACTCGGCGAGCTGAAGAACATGGCTCTTGACATGGGAACTGAAATCGAAAGGTTCTCTCTCATATCTTCTATCAACTCTCTATACATACGTTCTCTAAGAGTTTCCGCGTTTCTTCCCTCGATAAAACTGGTTTATAAATGGAAATCGCAGGCAAAACAATGGACTTGATCATCTTCAAGATGATGTCGAGGAGCTCAACTTCAGAGTGAAACAATCTAATCAACGGGCTCGCCGTTTACTCAGGAAGTAGAAGCAGTCATAACTCTTGTGTTAAGAACCTAGCTCGTCAGCTTCTCCATTCTGCTGATGAATTTGTTTCTTTAAGTCAAACAGAGGTTTCAATATTTTAGTTCTGATCTTAATAAAGTTGTAACATTTGACTCCAACAATTGCAGAATCCTGTGAAATTAACAGACAATGACAGTAGTTGCAACATTTGATTCCAAAGCTTCAGTTTGAAATAAAAAATGAATAACATGAGTTTTGTCTGTAAAATATGATTAGGATCAAGAGGAAGAAGAAGACACAACAGACATGAACTCTTGATCTGATTCCAAAGCTTCCATAAACTCTGGAAGAAGACATACTTCCAAATCAATGCTTCCTCCTCCTTCTCTTCCGGGATAAGCCGATACCTTCCCATCATGCTTGTTGTTATAACCGCTTCTAGCCGCCACAGCCTTTCCCAGCCCAAACTCGCATCCGTACTTGTTAAACCTCGGTGAGCTTCCCATATGAACAAGGTTCGGCTTGGAAAACTTCTCCGATTGCAAACCAGAAAGAGACTTCAACCATTGATCAATCTCGGAAGCGATCTTTTGGCCAGTGTGTTCATTTACAGCTTGATGCAGTTTTAACGCAGCCCATCCAAAATCATTCTCCAATAGATTACCAATTCTTGTAGTCGTACTTGCAAGAGAGACGTAAACCCCAAAGTGATTCATTGGCAATGGTGGATTCATTCTTGATCTGTTTCCAGCAACAAGCCTGCAAGTTGTTTCTTGATCATTTGGTACTTTTCTTGCTCTTGTGATGCTTCTCCAAATAAATGCTGTTAACGACTGCAAAGAAGAGATCTTCGTTGTTCCGCATTCTTGATTCGCCTTTGATTTCAATGATCTGACTGTTTCTGATGAGAAATGGAACATTCTCACTTTCAAAACCGGAGATTCGAATCGAGTACTAATGGACTGATCAAGTGGACTGAAGGGAAGCCTGCAAATAGGACCGTAGGCTTCACGAAAGATTGGAGGATTCTTGAGACAAGAAAACTTGTTGTGGGTGGTATCTTCTTCTGAATTGAAGATCTCAGACAAAGAGTTGAAGAACTGCCAGAAGGAACTTCCGTCTCCAATCGAATGATTCATAGACATTCCTATGAAAACTCCATCTACCAATTCTGTTACCTACACACGCACGTTTCAGGGTTTAAAACCAGTCACTAGCTATAACACTATGTTACAAGCTCGTTATATAAAAGAACAGCCTTTACCACTACAAATCTGATAACATATGTACACATGATGGAATAATTGTACCTTGACTGATAAAAGACTCATGGTTTGGCCATCGAGATTCACTGCTTTGTGATGATCAAAGAAAGATTGAACGACCAAAGGAACATATTTGGACCCTACAATGTTTGATACACTTAGATCCGATTTTGCATGGATAAACCCAGCTCCAGGACTGTTTTCACAGTCCACAAACACCGAGTGAGATCTCGGATTTTCTGTTTTCGAAGTCGAGAGACGACCTGCGAGAGGGTAAAAATGGACAAGTGTTGTTGCTAGAGAGTCTTTAAGCTTTTGCAGAAAAGCCTCCATGAAGTCTTTTGGCTGGACTGCATCAGCAGATTCAGATGCAATTGATGGTTTGATAAAGAGAAGACCCTTTTGGATGTACTGGATTGAGAGCATCACATGATCCAATGGTGAAAAATGGTATTGCTCTTTTGATTTTTCAGGGAGGGTTTTGGGTTTGACGAAGCATTGCGATAGAATCTTTACTTCCAATGATGAAGAAGAAGAAACCATTTTCCTTTGTTTCTTTCTTTCAATGTTTCTTTGTTGTTTTTCAATTTTCATTCTTATGTATATATATACAGTAAACAGCTATATCATTCCATGTTGAACACGATTATCTAGTTATACGATTTTAACACGATTTTCTAGTTATAGGATTTTAACACGATTATACTGCTACATCATCTAACGTGTTTAACACGATTCTCTAGTTCAACAATAATTAGATTTTTTAATTCCACGTTGAACATGATTCTCTAGTTAAGCTTTTTAAATTAAGGGTCATGTATTCATCTGCTTCTCTCTTTTAAGGGTTAAACTCCAATACAAATTGATAATCCCAAATTAACTAACACATGCATGATTAATGATTTCAACTAAAGTCTCACAATCTCATCAACTGAATAACACATGAACACATAGTTATGATTGGATGATCTCAGTCTGGTGGGACGCCAAAGACAGGAAATTGAGATTTTTAAAACCACTAACCAAGCAGCTCTGTTTGTTTTGGGAGGGTAAAAACTCTCATTATATGTTTTGTGTTTGGTTTCAGGGTGAGAAGCTACTTGGGAGCTTGAAAGGCATTTTTTCAACGACTTGGAAGCCAAAGAAGACTCGTTCTATAGCCGGTCCTGTCATAACGAGAGGTTTACTCTTCTTTGGCTGATCACTTCTATGGAAAGAAACTCTGGCTTGTTACTTCACCTAACTCACTTTCTTCTGAGTAGGTGAATCCCCCAAGAGATGAGTTAACTACTTAGAGACTAGGGAAAAGCTACAATCAAGAACCCGTGAACCGCTGATCTTAAATAAATTTGTAACATTTGAACCGGTGAAATTAACCAACAAAGACATTTGATTCCATAGCTTCAGTTTTGAAAGAAAAAAAAAAAAGAGAATGACGTGGAGTTTTGTGTCTGGAAAATATGAGTAACTAGGATCAAGAAGAGACCAGAGACATGAACTCTTGATCTGACTCCAAAGCTTCCATAAACTCTGGAAGAAGACATACTTCCAAATCAATGCTTCCTCCTCCTTCTCTTCCGGGATAAGCCGATACCTTCCCATCATGCTTGTTGTTATAACCGCTTCTAGCCGCCACAGCCTTTCCCAGCCCAAACTCGCATCCGTACTTGTTAAACCTCGGTGAGCTTCCCATATGAACAAGGTTCGGCTTGGAAAACTTCTCCGATTGCAAACCAGAAAGAGACTTCAACCATTGATCAATCTCGGAAGCGATCTTTTGGCCAGTGTGTTCATTTACAGCTTGATGCAGTTTTAACGCAGCCCATCCAAAATCATTCTCCAATAGATTACCAATTCTTGTAGTCGTACTTGCAAGAGAGACGTAAACCCCAAAGTGATTCATTGGCAATGGTGGACTCATTCTTGATCTGTTTCCAGCAGCAAGCCTGCAAGTTGTTTCTTGATCATTTGGTAAGTTTCTTGCTCTTGTGATGCTTCTCCACATTAATGCGGTTAATGACTGCAAAGAAGAGATCTTTGTTGTTCTGCATTCTTGATTCGCCTTTGATTTCAGTGATCTGACTGTTTCTGAGGAGAAATGGAACATTCTCTCTTTCAAAACCGGAGACTCTAAATGAGTAACAGATTGGTCAAGTGGACTGAAGGGAAGCTCGCAAATAGGACCCTGCACTTCACGAAAGATTGGAGGATTCTTGAGACAAGAAAACTTGTTGTGGGTGGTATCTTCTTCTGAATTGAAGATCTCAGACAAAGAGTTGAAGAACTGCCAGAAGGAACTTCCGTCTCCAATCGAATGATTCATAGACATTCCTATGAAAACTCCATCTACCAATTCTGTTACCTACACACGCACGTTTCAGGGTTTAAAACCAGTCACTATAACACTATCTTACAAGCTCGTTATATAAAAGAACAGCCTTTATCATTGCAAATCTGTTAACCAGTCTGTTACAAAATAAAAGAACAGCCTTTTTATCACTACAAATCTGTGTTACACATGAATGAATAAGGTATATATATTACATACACATGAATGAATAAATGTACCTTGACTGATAAGAGACTCATGGTCTGGCCATCGAGATTCACTGCTTTGTGATGATCAAAGAAAGATTGAAAGACCAAAGGAACATATTTGGATCCTAAAATGTCTGATACACTTAGATCCGATTTTGCATGGATAAACCCAGCTCCAGGACTGTTATTACAGTCCACAAAAACCGAATGAGATCTCGGGTTGTCTGTTTTCGAAGTTGAGAGGCGACCTGCGAGAGGGTAGAAATGGAAAAGTGTTGTGGCTAGAGAGTCTTTAAGCATTTGCAGAAAAGTCTCCATGAAGTCTTTTGGCTTGATTGCATCATCAGATCCAGATGCTATTGATGGTTTGCTAAAGAGAAGACCCTTTTGGATGTATTGGGTTGAGAGCATCACATGATCCAATGGTGAAAAATGGTATTGCTCTTTTGATTTTTCATGGAGGGTTTTGGGTTTGACGAAGCATTGCGATATAATCTTTACTTCCGATAATGAAGCAGAAGGAGGAGAAGAAGACGAAGAAATCATTTTGTTTTTTTTTGTTTGTGTTTTTTTTTTTTTATTACCTTTGTTAGGTTATATATAGATAGCATCCAATGATAATACAATCACTATTTTTAAGTTTGCCACGTGGAACACGATTCACTTCAATAAAAGACGACAAAAAAAAAAAAATCTTCAATACTAATGGATAAACTCAAATTAAAAAACACACACTTGATGATCACATTGTTATGATTAAAATTTTAACAGAAACGCAAAACATTCAATCCAACAAACCCAATTTATTTAGAGATATATAAAAACATATATATGAATAAGATCAAGAAGAAGAGACAAAGGACATGAACTCTTGATCTGATTCCAAAGCATACATAAACTCTGGAACAAGACATACTTCCAAATCTATGCTTCCTCCACCTTCTCTTCCTGCATTAGCTGATATCTTCCCATCAAACTTACCTCCATAACCGCTTCTAACCGCAACCGCTTTCCCCATTCCAAACTCGCATTCATACTTCTCAAACCTCGGTGAGCTTCCAATGTGAACAACCATCGATCCCAAAAGCGTTTCTAAATGGAAAATAAATGATGACTTCAACCATTCCTCGACTGTCTTTGAGATCTCTTCACTAGTGTTTCCTATCACAGCTTGATGCATTTTCAAAGCGGCCCATCCAAAATCATTTCCGAGTAGTTCACCTGATTTCACGGTCATCGACCTTATAGCTGAAATACAATTACCAAAATAGTTCAAAGACAATGGTGGATCCATTCTTGCTCTATTGTTAGCTGCAAAGCTGCAACGAGTTTCTTCATCGTATGGTAATTTTCTCGCCCTTGTGATGCATCTCCATATCAATGCGGCTAACGATTGAAAAGAAGAGATGATTGTTGTTGCTGTTCCACATTCTTGATTAGCCTTTGTTTTCAATGATCTTATTGTTTGTGATGAGAAATGGAATATTCTCTCCTTCAAGACCGGAGACTCGAATCGGCTGATGAATTCGTCAGAGTGAGTGAAAGGAAGGTTGTGAACAGGTCCGTACCCTTTAGGAAACCATCGTTCAAGGACCGGAGGATTCTTGAGAAGCACGTTATTAGTTTCTTGTGCATTGAAAATCTCGGACAACGAGTTGAAGAACTGCCATAAGGAACTTCCATCTCCAATCGCGTGATTCAATGACAATCCTATGAATACTCCATCCACCAATTCTGTTACCTAAATAATCAAACACAATCCTTAATCTTGTACATGTTGCTGATTAAAAACAAAAAAGACGACCATAGTTTATTCTAAATGATTCAGATGCATAGCTATATACAAGAATGAATAAATGTACCTTGAGTGACAAGAGACTCATGGTGTGACCATCATGGCTCACGGCTTTATGATGGTCAAAGAAAGATTGAACAACCAAAGGAACATATTTGGACTCAACAACGTCAGATACACTTATATTTGATTTGGCATGGATAAATCCAGCTCCAGGACTGTTATTACAATCCACAAATACCACGTAGGATCTCGGATCATCAGATTTCGAGGTTGAGAGGCGACCCGCGAGCGGATAGAAATGGACAAGTGTCGCGGCCAAAGAGTCTTTAAGCTTTTGTAGCCAAGTCTGCATGAAATCTTTTGGGCTTATTGGGTCATCAGAGTCAGATATTATTGATGGTTTGAGAAAGAGAAGACCCATTTGGATGTAATGCATAGAGAGCATCACATGATCCAACGGTGACAAATGGTATGGCTCTTTCCATTTTTCAGGCATGGTTTTGGGTTTAACGAAGCATTCCGATACGACTTTTACTTCCGATGAAGGAGAATCCATTTGAAGAAGATGAGCGTCTCTACTTCTCTACTATTTTTTTCCTGATTCTTCAAAGCTACTCCTAAAGCATAACAACTGAGGTTCTTATATAATTTAATCATTTTGAGGTTTGTTCAAATAGTTTAACTTTGGCTAAAGAGAAAAATATAGCCTTTACTAGATTATAGTTCAAAATAGTTTATAGCTTTTAAAAGCAATTACTAGCATATTTATTTAATATACCAGCATATTTATTTAAAATTAAGCTATTTTAAAAATATCAAATTTTATGTTTTTCAATTATCAGCAAAAATCCAAAATTCCCAAAAATAATACAAACTTAATAAAAAAACATAATAATATCTACTAGTAATAATTTTCTTTGATTTCATTTACTTAATCAAAGTAAATATTGACTACTCTGAAAACATGTTACATATATCAGTTCAAAACAAAATATATATCATTTTTCTACTGGTTAACATTTATTTAATAAATTATTTCAATAAATAGATACTAATCAACACTATAATTAATAAAAATCTACAGCTAAAATCTTACATCTAAGTTTTTCTTTTATAAATAATGTTAAATTTACTATAATATAATTAACCATCAATTAGATGTTAAAAGGGAAAAACGGCGTCCCACGACCCTCGATGACTTGCGATGGTTTTTAAACTTTTCATCGAAATAAAAACTATGAGCCGGATTTCAGGCCTTTTATAATAGGCCCAATTGTGAGAAGCCTATCTATAAGCTATACATTATCATCTGCCATATTCGTTTGTGAAAGTTAATAATAATTAATAAATATAGTAAATAGCTAAATACTAAATACTGTCACTAACGAACATTACCAATATTTATCTGACACACCTTTCTTCTTCGATTCTCTCTCTACCCGCGAAAACCCTAAGACGATTTATATCCTCCGGCGAGAAGAAATTTATTCTCCTCTCCGTCCTCTCTAAGATACGACGCCTTCTACAGGTTTTCATCTTCAAACTATGCCCGTTTCTCAGGCATCGATTAAGTTTGATTAACGATTTTCGATTACGTTTTACTCATTTCCTTGGTCTTTTATGTTCTTTGGATTCATTTCCGAATTTTGATTTTAGTTTCTCTCAAACTTTTTAGCTGAATTTCTGTTGATTTGATTTTCAGCTTCTTCTGGGATTTCTCTATTAGTTTACTGTTCCTTTTCCTGAGTTTTCATTTTTCATAATCTGAGGCTTCTGAAATTCTCTCGATCGATTCTAAAGACTAAGTCTTGTTAGTGAAATTTGGTATTGTACGCTACCTGAACTAAAGTTTGATGTGCTATTTCTCTTGTTGATCTGCCATTTGTTTGTGCTATCATCTGGCAGATAGATTTTTATCGCTTGTCTTGTAGCCCTTTTGCTTTTTCTTTCATTTCGGATTCACTAATTTTGTTTTCATTCATTTCTTGTTTACAGATCTGTTAATATAAGTCAGAGAGAGAGATTCGAGTTTGCAGTTCCCATCAACCGCTTTCTCTGCCCTCGATGTTGTCTCTGATCTCTTTGTCCATAGATCCAGGCTTTGTCTGATTTCTCTTCTTACCTCCTAGAAACCGTTAAGCTCCTTGATGCTCGTATTCTCTTCCCTGTCTATGACTCCAATTCTGATCCATCAAAATCTCCGTGTCTTTGGCCCTGGTTTGAATCCCTCTTTCCCTTACTGCATTGCTAATCATTCACTTGCATCTCCCTGATTGAGCTTGATCCACTTCAATTGAATCATCTATCTGCTTCTCCCATCAGTGGCTATTCTGTTGATTTTGTTTCTGGTTTCTAGCTACAAGTAGTACCACCTCCTTAAAGACATTCTTGGATAAGGGTGAAACCGAACAATCATGTAAATCTGAGTGACTCCTAGAATCTCCCTGTCTAGTAAGTTGTCTTTCAGGAAATCTCTTTTGGTTTTTTCCTACGTGGAACCAAGTCAGTTCCGGTTTAACTGCAAGATGCTCCAAGAGCAGCCGGTTCCTATCTCTTTCCGGCGTAACTCATTTCGACGCCGGTCCATGAAAACGGGTGGTGAGAGAGACGACAGGGGCTGGACTCCGCTCCACATCAAAGCCCGAAAAGGCGATCTCAAAGGTGTGAAAGAGCTCCTTGACCAAGGAACAGACGTGAACGCTCTAGCTTGTGGACCAAAATCAAAAGGAGTGACTCCTCTTCACCTTGCAGCCGAAGGTGGCCACATCGAAGTCATGGACTTGCTTCTTGAACGTGGAGCCAACATTGAAGCCAGAACTTGGGGTGCTTGTGGCTGGACTCCTCTCCATGCTGCAGCTAAGGAACGGAAGAGAGAAGCTGTGAAGTTTCTTGTGGAGAACGGTGCTTTCTTGCCCGATGATATAACCGACAGTAGATTCAACCCGCCGGTTCATTACTGTCACGGCTTGGAATGGGCTTATGAGGAGTTGAAGAAACTTAGTGGAGAGAGTTCTTCTTCATCTGGTGGAGACACTTCTTGCAGTTCTGAGAACTGAATCCTTGTTTTTTAATTGTTGTTTTCTTTCTTGCAGTGACTTGTAATGTCTCAGACACTGTATGTGTAATATTTTGATACCGTTTGATTTGGTTGTTTTGGTTTGACATGTAAAACATCACTTGTTTCATCCTCGGTTATCTATCTGGTTCTGAAATTTGTTTGTTCCCATTGAAACCAAATAAATTGATGAATTTTTTAATTTATTAAAATGATACATTTGTCACCAGCATTAGATAATAGATACAATTACCAAAAAAAAATACATCTTTTCTCTGTTTTTTTCTTTCCAATAGACAAACCCATAAACATCATGAACAAGCAGAAGCATCAAAATTAGGTAACACAATGAACGACATCGACAATGGCAAGACATTAACCGGAGAGTTCACACCACGGAGGACCGGTTCAAGATTGGGAATGTCTCCAGTTGCCGTCGGTTTTAACGGTTTACCATTCAAGTTCATAGTCTTACTCCTGAAGTCACCGTTTTCTGGTGTCAGATGATACTCTTCTCTGTTCAAATAACCATCCGAAGCTTTGCTTCCAATCCAAGAAAAAGGTTTCTTCAAAGTATCCAACAATGACTTCTTCCTCTGCTTTGATTCCGCATTCAAAACAATGTTCACGCCATTGCTAACGCTAACCGTAAAACACGTTTGATTGCTTAGATTTATCAGAAGCATCGTAACACCCGCCTACAACCAAGAAGAAACCAAAAAAACAAAGCTTAAGTAATTTTCTAACCGAAATACGTATACGAGAGGAACATGAATAAATAAGAACTCACTCTTCCTTTAGAACAATGCGCGTAAACCCGTAGATGCGGCGGACCATCTGACCGAACCGCAAGAACCCCTTTTCCCATTAACCGATGCCAAAGCAGTGCACTGTCCCGCCCAACAGAAAACTCAGTTTTTCAAAACTTCAAGAATCAAGACAAATCAAGCTAAGAGTTCTTGGTTATGGACTCTCTCTCTCTCTCACCTATAGTAATCCGGATTTGGAACAAACGTTCCCTTTTCGAGCAAACCGTAAAACCCACCAACCAAAGTCTGTCTGCAGTAAACTTTAGTGTTGTGTTTCGACGACATTCCCAGCTGATCTAGGTACCTTAAAAAGATTAAGATCAAAAGATGTTTCTTTTAGATCTAAAAGAAAAACAGGGGGAAAAAAATCCAAGAAATCCGGAATTTTTTTTTTTTTTTTTTTTTTTGGTTTGAGTTAATTTTACCAGAAGCTGTCTATGAATGTATCAGAAACATGACGGCCACCACTATTGTAAGCTCCACCAGACTCTCCAACCCAAGGAGAAGCCCACGGTCCATGTTCTTGAATCGTCTGGTTCACGTTCTTGAATGTTTCTGATATTTTGCTTAAGTAACTGGGATTCAGTATCTTCTTCACCAGCTCAGGATCATTCCCTGCAAGACTCAAACATACAAGGCATCCATTTCCTCTGAGAGAGAGAGAGAGAGAGAGAGAGAGAGAGAGAAGTAATGGTTTTAATTTGATTTGATTCTCTTATACGAAACCAGACCTGAACCGAGATTGTATATATGATGAGTGACAACGTCGACAACACCTGGACCAGAGATCTGAAGAAGTTTGGAGTACCATTGTTGCTCATAGAATCCTCCAGGAGCGACAAGCGAAGGCTTGGTTAACTGAGAATCTTTATACACTTTGTTAATTACTTCTCTAAGTACAATCAAGTCTTTCCCGTAAAGCTCTGCGCTCACGCTTGCACCAACCCCGTTTCCGCTCAGCTCATTTCCTAAACCGATAACAAGAAAGGTAAGAAAATATGGGAGCTAAAGAAAGCGACTTTTTAACAAATGTTGTGAGATATCTTCTTGTTGCTATTACCGAATTCCCAAGAATCTATAGCGTAGCCCTTTGAAACTGTGTAGTTGATGAAATCTTGAGTGTTGATGTGATTCCATGCCCCTCCCCACGCATTTCCACGGAGTTTGTGTCTCCCGTGCAAAGCGTTTAAACCGAAAGTCACTATAGCTCTGTCCCAAGAAAACATGAATAATTCAAAGATACTTTTTTCTAAAGGGGAAAAATGTGAATCTTGATGAACGAAACCAAAACCGAAGGCTTACCCGGTTTCGGTTAAGAAACTGTTGAGCTCATCCCATCTTTTCATATGCAAGCATCCTTTAGAGAATCCAAATAACCCACTGTTCATTTTTCTGAATGGACGACAAGGAGTTTTGAGATTTCCTACGTCGTAAATCACTTGATCTTGCAGCGAACCGCCTATTCTTATCCTCAATGGCTTGAAGGCTAAACAAACACAAAACTCCAGATCACTACAAGTTTCAGAAATCAATAACACACGAGCAGGATAACATTCGATTTGCGTGGTGTAAACCTTGAACAGCTTTAGCAAGAAGAGGACGAGATAAGTCCTGAAAAACATTCAAAAGATCAAACATTTCAATCTCAGTCTCGAACTTTATGAATAGTCTAATCGTAAAGACCACAAGGTTATTACCATATTGATAACTGAAGAGTAACCCCAGGGACAATTGTCATAGTTGCACTTGTCATGTGGCCACCAGTCCAATGTCGCACAGACAAAGTTCTCGTCGGTCTCAGAGATTCGACTAGCTCCTTCGATAACGATCGATGCATGTTTCACGTCTTGAGCCATTGTTGTCTCTGGGACTAGTAGAAGACAACTCAAGAAGACAAAGAAGCAAACTTTGAAGCCCATTGTTTTGTTTTTGAGCTTCACTGTCCAAAGCTTTTTGCAGCTAACTTTCCCTGTAAAAGTCTAAAACATCAAGAAGAAGGGAAATCTAAAACATTAAAAAACAGAACTTTAACCTCTGCAATTGTCAGAACAAGCAAGTGATTACATGTGAAAATATATGAATAGAAAAAGGAATAAACTTATTCTTTTTCCTGCCATATTAGGATAATTGTGATTACAAGCAGGGAGTTAGGTGTAATTAACCCATTAAAGAAGAAAAAAAAAACTAAACTTTTGCTGACAACATCAAGAAGAAAGAAAGGCTAACCTCTACAATTACCAGAACTAGAAAGACAGGCTTGCGTGTGGGAAAGATATGTGGAAGAAAAAAGAAACAGGTAGGTTTGTATGATTATAACCAGAGTAGTTGACTTCAAATGCAATTAGCACAATCCCTTAATTATGTAATTAATTAGTCAAATTAATGTTTTCCGACGACACATGCTCGTAAGCATTAGATGAGTCTAGCTGGTTTACAAAAACAAATCGTCTCTTGAATTTTGCGGTTTCGAGTTTAAAGTCCGAATCGGGTTAATTTACAATTAAAAAAAGCATAAAAAGAAAAAACAAACAAAAGAAGAAACTAATTAGAGAACAAGAGTCAAAGAGTCACTCGATGACGATAACAGACGATTCAAATTCTCAGGTAAATCTCTTATAAAAATCACACATGTGAGAAGGATCTGCAGTTTTAAAATGATATCTGAGATCAAACTCGGATATCTGGAATTTCAAGTGAAAAGATATAAAAATACCGATATAAAATCATCAGATTGAGATACAAGAAAAGCAAGAACTGACCTGAGAATCCAGCTTCAATGGAGAAAACCGAGTCTGAAGCAAAAGGGTATCTGTAAAAGAATGTAATACTTTTGATAGAAGTTGAGTTTGATTTCGTAATTGTTCATGTGCCTTGATGACACTTAACGAGCAAAATCTGGCGGTGATGTAAGATCGGGTGAACTTTGCAATATGTCGGCTTCTCTATTTCACTTGCTGGAGATGTTGTTTTCTAATTTTTGTATCTTTCATTTTCTTTTTTGGGACTTTTAAGTTTTTGTATTATTTTTTTGGAGTTGGTGCAACTTGACGAATCAAACCTTCTCGAGAAACATGAGCTTTCTACCACTTTTTATTCGTTAATTTCCGTATTATTTGTTCCTGATTGATTAGGTTTACGGAAAAGCAGTTAGAGCATACCTTTGAAAACAAGTAAAACCGAATTTGGTGGGTGAAAAATAATACTCAGAACTTCTGTTTTTTTCTTTCATCAAATAAAATCTTTTGTTTAGTTGCTACTTGCCAGACGTATTTATTTTGGCCTCAAGCTTTACTTTTCCCCTTTATTTTTTCTTTTACTACTGAAGTTAAGTTTGTAGAATATTAGTTTGTAGATTAATAACACGATGATTTTAAGTTTAGCTTCTAGCTAGATTATCGTTTCCGATCTAAAATTAATTTTTGTTTTTATTCAAAGACTTTTCACATAAATCATCTACACACACAAAAAAAAGTAGCTTTCCAAAATATTTTCTATCATACTTTATATTTTTGTTTTTCCAAGCACAAGTTGCACTACCAATTAATAATATCTAGAGAATAATGCAAACACGATAGATCTGAAAGAATATTTTTCCTAGTTGCTTCCGCTAAATGAAGGAAGTTTAGACAAAGCAATCCAGATTATAAAACAAACACATTTTTAAGAATTAAATAGCACCAAGAAAAAGAGCAAATAAGCTAATGAGAAATAATGTGGTGTCAGAAAGAAAGAAAGAAAGCACAATTACTTGTAATTGTAAAAGTGGGAAGGTGGTTCGAGTCAGTCGGTCCAACTCCACCCATCTGTATCATTCCAAAGTCAATTTAGTCAGTATTGTCACGTGTCATGCTTGAAACAGAAGCAAGTAGCTGAACAACAGATCTGTCCTTTTCTTTTTTTCTCTCTTTTTAAAAAAAAAGGATTTTCGTCCATTTCTTTTTTTTCTCTTTTCAAATTCTATATTTGTCAACCCAATTCATACCCTCTCTTTTTAACTTGTTTTTTTCGTAATTAGTAGTGCTCTTCAAGATTTAGTAATGGTGGTGAATATTTTGTTGTTATCAATTATTCTTTGTCTAAAACTCTAATTATTGCTAAGTTTTTGGTTGGCAATCCTCTATATATACAAACTGAAGATCTAAAGCTTGGAACACAAGGAAAAGAAGACCCTCTTGTGAAAAATAATCTGAAAATCCAATAGGCTATATAGCATTTACGCAACGAAACTCGTCTCCCCGTTTTCCAATTGGGCTTAACTATATGGGCTTAATATTTTGATCCATAATGATTTGTCGGACCGACTTTATAGGAAGAAACCACTTATAGGAGAGTTGATGTTTCTTGGTCAGAATCTTTCCTCGGTCTTGTCTCTACCGGCTCTACGGTTATGCGAGACTGCAATTAGATTCGCTTAATATTTTAAATTTAATTCTATTTAGATCATATTTTATTTTTGTGGCATTTATTAAAAATTATTTAAAGGATCTCTGTGTTTTTTTTTGGAGTCAGCTACTCAGCATCTAGATCTTATCTTTTTCAGTTTATAATAAAAAAAAAATCCAAAGTCGGTCCATCGCGGAAAGCATCATTCTTTAGAAAAATACAAAAAGACTTGTTTGATATCTCCGATCCGTCAAAACCTAAAAGCTACATCGATTTAATATTTTACTAAATTTGATACATTATTAATATGGACTACTATGAGTTTTATAATCTGAGTTTGTTTAATTACACCATCATAAATCTTTGACTTAATTTCAATTAATGAAATTAAAGGCTTTTCCTTTTCTTTTTTTTGTTGGGGTCAAAAGAAATTCGGTCTTAAGATTATGAGTTTTTGACTAATAAAATGTGTTACTCAATTTATTTGAGTATTGCACAAATCATATGGCTCTGTCTTAGTGCATTAAAACCATCAGCCCAAAACTGAAAACTTAAGGAAAAAAATCTCAAAAGACTCTCACCTTCCCTCTCTTTCTTGACCTCATTTTTTCCTCTGTTGTCAAATTTTGTAGGTGCGTTTTTCTCTTCCTAAGAATGAAATCTAACTTTCTCTTTCTTTTTTTCTCTGAATTTCTCAAATCACTCTTCGTCCTCTTCTGGGAAAAATATTAGCTTTTCTAAATTTCTTTATTTTTCGGTTTCTTAGTATATGTTCTTCACTTTCAAAAACCGTTGAGAGTTGGGTGATCTAAAGGTAGTATCTTTATGTGCACCTCACATTTTCATTACAGTTGACTTCGTTGTAGTTTTCTATGACTATGTTACTGTATTTAAATCTTGATCAAAACTTGAGATCCTGAACAAAATCTGCTCTCCTCTTTTTGTTTCTCCATTGATTTTCGATACATCGGATTGATTATTGAACTGAGTCATGATCAAATTTCGATTTTTTGTTGTTGTTGGGTGTTGATGTGATTGCTGATTTATGTCGACTCTCGAGTTTGATATTTCATGCAAGTTTTATTCTCTGCTGAAAGTAGAGATTCCTTTACATACATATGTTTTGATGTTTGAACCAAAGGACTCATTTTTTGGTAGATAATTTCATCCTCAAATATGTTTGAATGTGGTTTATTCGATTTGATCCGAGCCCAGAGAAAAACAGTTTAAGATCGAGAAACACTAATCAAACCGCTCTGTGCATTGTTTAATTGATTTCAAAGTAAATGCTTGGGCTCTCAAAATTGGAGATTTTGAAGATCAGAAAACCAATCTGGTTTCTTTGACTATTCTTCTGAAATCCCTGGATCCTTCAGTAATGTTGATATGTTTATTCTCTGCAGTTCTGATACATTGCAATGGCTGAAGAGAATATTCCACAAGTTGATGAGAAGTGTTGTTTGGATGATGCAAAACCAGTGGAGACCATTGAAGAAAACTCTGTTGAAACAATGCCTTTGATTGATGAGGAAACTCAAGGAGATGATGTTCCTCTTCCTCCAGCTGCAGTATCCAATGGTGATGTGAATCTGAGACGGTGTTCGAATGGAGCGTTAGATAAACGAGTACCAGGTAAAGCTCAGGTTCAAACACGTTACCGTGGGAACCAAATGAGTTCGACTCATGATCTATGTAAACATGGGAAGAGGCGTGAGGATGATTTTGTGACCAAACCGTGGAAGTTGGTTAAGAAAAAGAATGTTGAAAGCGGAGATTTGGTGAAAGGTGAGACTTTGGGCGTGATGAGGAAGTCGTTGGGAAGTGTTTCTAAACCGGAGAAGTCATTGCAGGTTGCAAAGAGAGCTGCTGCTGCTGCTAGTGAGGTTGTCAAATCTTGTGATGGTTTACTCGTTAAGAGATGTGAAACCAAGAGTACTAATCCGAGTGATGTAAAACTGGTCAAGAAGACAAATGTTGATGTTAAGAAGGTTTCAAGGATCAACGAGAACAAGAGTTCTAAAGAGGGTCTTTCGAAGAATCTGAAGAAGAAAGAGAAGATGAAGATTGATGAACCGGTTAGATGTGAAGATGTCTCGGATAAGAGGGTTTCAAGGAACAGCGAGAACAAGAGTTCTAAAGAGGATCTTTTGAAGTGTATGAAGATGAAAGAGAAGACGGAGATTGATGGACCGGTTAGATTTGAAGATGTATCGGAGAAGACTTTGTATGTTGTTGAAACTAGTATTGAGGAGAAGAAGATGAAGAAGAGGAGCATAAAAAGTGTCAAGAGTGAGATTCAGATATCTTCTGAGAAGAAAATCTTAAGAGGCAGTGGAAAGAAAAATCTTACATCTTTACCGTCGTCTTTGTCTCCATCCTCGGAGGAGGTTAAGGGATCGCGTGCTACGAGATCAGATCCTAGGCCAATAAGACAGACGACTTCCAGGTCCAAGACTGGTTTGTATGAGAAGAAAGAGATTGGTTCTGCAACTCTTGTAACTAACTCGAAAACCGAAAGCAAGGTTAGGCCAAAGAGGATTGGTTTAAAAGTTACTCCTCCTCCTCCTGGTCCTCCAACGAGGCCGGTTAGTTTCAGAAAAGGGAAAGTTCTTGAACCAAAACCAGAAGGTTCGACTCCAACATTGATCAAATTCAAAAAGAGAGTTGTTCAAGAAACAAAACTCAGAAGTGATGGGAACAAGAAGAAGAAGAACCTGAAAGATAAACGAGAAGGTGTTGGGAAAATGAGCAATAATAACGGTGAAGGTAAACGAGAGAAAGTTGTTTTGAGGCACAGAAAAGTGGAAGCAAAGAAGAAATTGCAGACACTTTTCAATAATGTGATTGAAGAGACTGTGAATAAGCTTGAAGAAGTGAGGAAGAGTAAGGTTAAAGCATTGGTGGGTGCTTTTGAAACCGTAATTTCTCTTCAAGATAACGATAAAACATCTCAGAAGAAGAAAGCTCAGAGAAAACCCACATCTTCACAAGTCGTTGAAGGCTAGTCCTTGGCTGCTTAAATCCAATATTTGTTACAGAAAAAGATAAAACTTGTGAATTTATGATACAGTTCTTGAGTTGGGAAAAAGTGGGTTTGTTTGTTCATGAATCTTTTGATGTAAAATTTTCAATAAAATCATCTAATGTACTTTCCAGTACATCTGGTTTCTTCTATGATGCCTGAGTTTAAAGATTTGAAGAGTATGTCTAATGAAACTGAATTAGACTGAATTAAAGAATTCGACTGAATTTGAAGGAAATAAGATTTCTATTAAATTCTTGTGTTATTCAATGAAGTATTCCATCAATTCTTTTAAATGTATGTGTTATTGGATCTAAGTATTTGCAGTCATTCTTTTGAAATGCTTTAAATTCTATTGTTATTAGATCCATGAGTATTTTAATTCTATTAAATATCTGTGTTATTCAATATTTGGTGGATTTAGTGGTAACCTCATTTACAAAGAATTGAATAGAAAATTGATTGTAAAATGTAAAGAAACAATTTTGTGCTTTTATGCTCTGAATTGCAAGGAATTATGAATTGGTCGTAATATTCTTTTTTTTTCTTTTTATCCAAAGGTAACAATCAAAACATTAGGGGCATTCTCTTTCACAGATCTTTTCAACTGCAAAACGCTATTCTCCTGTCCACTTCACCTGGTCGTACAAATTCTAATCAATATATAATATTATATATCATAGAATCTCTAGTTATCTATACATATATCCTAAAATCTCTACAAAACTTATCTATTATGTAATTTCTCTTCTATATATATAACATTGCATCTCTCTCTCAAAGCAACAAAAAAAAAACAATACCACTAAGAAAAAAGTTTTTTGCATTCTTGAAAGGAGTAGTGCTTGTAGTCAATTACATTGTTTTGTATACTTTTACTTATAATAAATTGTTTTCCATTTTTCTCGACAGGTCTTCCATCTCTCAATTAATGTTTTTTCATATGTTCTGTCATATATATATATATATTATATATAGAATTATTTTCACACATGCACATGTATGTTTATGTACGTTAATGTTCATGTAATTTTTTCTTAATTAGATGGAAACTGGAGAAGCTTCGCAACCAAAGAAAAAAGGTGGATATTTCCCGTGGACATCCCAAGAAAATCAATTGTTGAAATGTTTATTGGTGGATGGTATCAAACAGGGATGGCGCGACTCAAATGGTTCTATAAGCAAATCAACGATTGAGACGAGGATACTCGGCTGCAGTAAGACTTACAAAAACTATGTAAATCGAATGAAATCTTTGAAAAAAGAATATCAAAGCTATGCAGAACTTCTCCGATGTAGCTCTGGTTTTGGGTGGGATCTCATTTTAAAACAATTCACTGCTTCGGATGAGGTGTGGGAAGAATATTTTAAGGTATTTTTTAATCTCTTAAATATTATCATTAAAATTTCATAATTTTTTTTTCACTAATGAATATGTCACAATGATTCAGGGACACCCAAATCATGAATACATGCGGAGTAACACTTTTGAAGACTTTGAAGATTTACAAATCATTTTTGAAAGTGCTATTGCAAAAGGAAACAACGTGTTTGGACTAGGTGGTGATTCAAATGCTGCAACTTTTGAAGTTGAAAATGATGTTCAAGAAAGAGAAGATGTTCATATGGAGAATGTTTGTGAAGCTAACGAAACATCATATGAAACTCCTAAAGAAAAACTACCTTCTAGGAAGCGAGTCAAAACCCATGGTAATCCATCAGAGTCAATTAATCATGGTGATCGTTCTGAAAAAGTAATAACTGAAATGATTGGAGTTAGCACTAATCTCATAAATCTTATTCAACAAAGAGAAGAAAGGCCTCAAAGAGAAGAAGAGGTACGAGAAACTGAAAAAAAAAGAATAATGTTTGGGATGCTATTAAAGAAATTCCCAACTTGGAAGAGTATATTCGCTATGATGCGGTAACTAAGATTCATAAGCTGAAGATGAAAAACGTATTTGTCTGCATGTCTATTGAAGAACGTTTGGGTTGGATTCTCCGTAACACCTAGTCACCTAGAATACTAATTTTTTAGGATTTTGGCTATGCTTTGGCTATGCATTTGATAATAAATTTTAATAATTGTTTCAGTTTACTATTTTTATGTTTTCTTTTTTTTCAACAAATATGTCATTTGGATTTTAAATTAATAAAAGTTTCATTTTGAATAAATAATTTACTTTCTAATTGAATCTAGGTACTTTGTTAAATAGAATTTTACGAGTACCAGAACAAAATATTATTAATCGATCACTTCTTCCACTATGAAGTTAAGGTAACTTCATCATGAAGCTCGTAATGGGCTAAAAATTAAATTATGGTGGACCATTGTATTTGAAGAAAGAATTTCTAAAATATAATCCCAACAGAATAGGAATATTTTTTTGCACTAATTTCAAAACCAAAAGATATGTGCAGACGTGTTCATTGCAAGATTTAAAAACTATTTTAGATTTCCAAATTCAAATAATAAAACCAATAACATTTTTTAAAATATAAAAACTGTTTGATAATTTTGGTTAACAAATATGAGACGATCCCTTTAAAATAGTATTGTTTCTAATTAATCAGTATCATGCATAGAATCCCTAAAATATAGAATACAATTAGATTAAAAAATTAAAATATTTTTGAATTTGAAAACTTGTTACGTAGACTTGATACTTATATATAGCCTTCCCTAGCATTTATATTTTCAGAGAAAAAGAAAATCATTCAAACAAAAGTATAAGAACAGCAAAACATCCATACTTCGTAAATTAATTCTTCATTTCATAGTTCTTTTCATTTGTTGTATATTTATTTATATATATTATATTAGATTCTAACTGTTGTTTTTTAACAGGTTAATTTTGATGGACTCCAATTCATATGAAGAAGACAACACAAGAAAAGATAATGAACGAACAGAAAATGATGAGTTTGACACAATCATATCTTTAATGGTGGTGATGATGGCTATAGGAGTTCAATATCAAATCTCACAACAGTTTCTCATGGGTGATAGTGAACGTCCGATTCGTCGACCAGTGAGCCTGCTCGGAGGAGAATACATACAAAATGTATTAAAAGAAGATACTCAACATTTTCGGGTATTGTACCGTATGTTTCCAGATGTATTTTTGAAATTTTCAAAAATACTCAGAGAAAAAGTTGGTTTACAAGACACAAGATTCATATCTGTCGAAGAGATGCTTGGTATTTTTATGCTTACAGTTGGGCAAAATTCAAGATATTGCTATGTTAAAAACACATTTAAGATCCAAGTTTGCAATAAGCACCAGCTTTAATTGTATTTTAAGAGCTATACTTGTAATAGCTCCAAGTCTAATGGTGAAACCAAATAGTTCAGTACCTATGAAAATCAGAGAAAATACACGATTTTATCCATATTTTAAGGTATATTATTTCATCTCTTGTGTTATTTATGTTTAATATTTTTTATTTGAAATTATTTTCATCTTTTGTGTTATTTATATTTTAAATTTTTTTTCAAAATCTAATTAATCATTGTTTTTTCAGAATTGTGTTGGTGCGTTAAATGGTACACATATACCTGCAACAGTAATTGGACGTGATGTGGCAAGCTACCGTAATCGAAAAGGAGAAATATCACAAAATGTTTTAGCTGCATGTAACTTTGACTTGGAGTTCATATATGTTCTTAGTGGATGGGAAGGTTCAGCACATGATTCAAGAGTGTTAAGTGATGCTTTGACAAGAAGAACAAACAAATTTCAAGTACCTAAAGGTAAAAAAAAACTTATAAATCAAATTACATATCATATGTCTAATTATTAATAGTGTATTTTCATCTTAATTTTTAGGAAAGTTTTATCTAGTTGATTGTGGATTTGCAAATCGACTTAATTTTTTGGCTCCATTTCGTGGTGTTCGTTATCACCTACAAGAATGGACTGGTAAAGGACGTGATCCTAATACTGCAGCTGAGTTATTCAATCTTCGACATGCTAGTTTGAGAAATGTTGTCGAAAGAATATTTGGAATTTTTAAATCTCGTTTTGTGTTTTTTAAATCTCAACCTCCTTTTTTCTTACGAGAAACAAGCGGGATTAATATTAGCATGTGCAGCGTTGCATAACTTTCTTCGTAAAGAATGCCGTTTAGATTTAGGTGAATTTCCCGGTGAAGAAAACACTACCAATCAAGTTGATAGAGATGATTTGGAGACACAAGAGCAAGACAGAGAAATCGCAAATAATTGGAGAAAAACTATGGCTGAAGATATGTGGAGAGATGCTATAGGTTTAGAACATTCTTAAATATTGTTATGCATTTAATAAAAATTGCTACAATTCAGTCGTAGCTGCAGTTGTTTTTTTTTGTCTTTAATTTATGGAAATTTAGTAATAATGTTTAATTTTTTAATAAAATATTTATATTTTCTTACACAAAAACTGGAAAAAAACTAGTTTGTACCTATTTACAAAATAATGTTTAATGTTTAATTCAAAATTTATAGGTTTTTGAAGAATTTGTATCTATGGAAATTCTTTTGCATTCTTTTCAAATCTTAAACAAAATTCTTTTACATTCTTTTCAATTCTAAAAATGAAAACAAAAAAAAAATCCATCAAAACCTTTAGAAAACACGTCAGATTCTACCACTATCTCTTAAATTGAATTCTTTTAGATTCAATTAAATTCTTTAATCCAATACCCCCCCTGAATTAGCCTCTGGTGAAATTGGGATTCCGGTTTGATTGTTTTTTCTTTCTCGTACCGGAATTTTTATTGGTGGACCGGATTAGTTGGCACGTGTGATTTCTCTTCGACCCCGCTCTACTCTTGTTCATGCTCTCTACGTTTCAAAATTTAAACGTCTTCTCTTCACTTCGCAAAACCTAAGCTCTCAAATTTCAATCAATGGAGGTTTCAGAAGAGCAAAGGCGGAGAGACGAAGAAGATCGGTTAATGCTTGGGGAGAAACGAAAGCCGTCGTTTGATTCTTCAGAAAACCCACAAAGACAACAAAATTTCAGGTTAGCCAAATGTCGGAAGCTCGACGGCGGCAACGATGTCGGTTTCAAAGAAGGGTATCGGAGCTACGAATACGACCCAGGAACGATCACTAGTGTTTCGGAAAAGTTCCG